GAGCAAGGGCGAGGCCTTGGCCATAGAGGCCAGTTGACGAGGCGGGTTGTCCGCAGCGGCTTAACGCAAACAGCGGAGGGCGAGTCGTGGCGACGTACGGCGACTCTACATGGATAGGCGGAGATGCAAAGGCGACGAAGGCAGCCAGCGGCTGGCGGTTCAGAGAAAAAACCGAGCGAGGGGCAGCTCAACGCAGGTCGCAGAGACAGCTGTAAGAGCAAGGGCGAGGCCTTGGCCACAGAGGCCAGTTGACGAGGCGGGTTATCCGCAGCAGCTTAACGCAAACAGCGGAGGGCGAGTCGTGGCGACGTACGGCGACTCTACATGGATAGGCGGAGATGCAGAGGCCGGCCGACACGGCGGAAGAGAGCCGGCCGCAGGCAGAAGGGGACCCGGCGATGGCTCAGAGCCGACTGGCGGAGCCACGACTGGCCACAACAGCGGATCAGTCAGCTACGGCTCGGCCCCGCTGCGTCTGAGGGGGAGCAGCTCGCGGCGCGGTCGGAGAGGCGCCGGCGAGACGAATGACGAGGGCGTGACGGCGATACCCGGCCCGGAGGCGATGGGAGGTCGTGAAGGCGGTTCGGTGACTTGAGGCGCTCGTAACAGCAATAGAGGAGTTCGATCCCATGGTCAATCCGTTCCGGGGTCGTCTTCCATCAGGATTTTGGAATTTTTGATGCTGTAGCGTTTATCTTATCGTCTTCCGTAAATTTTCAGGTTGACACCGGGGCGGCTTAGGCGCTTGACCCATCCCTAAAGCAGCTGTGTTCAGCGCGAGGCAAACCACAGTAACGGGGCGGCTCGGAGCCCCGGGCCGCTCGAGGTGTAGCGAGGTCGCGGAGCGGCTCATCGGTTGAACACATCTTCTTCAAAAAATCTGTCCGTCTTGACTCGGCGACTTGCAGTGCCGCCTGGACGTGTAACCGCCGGTTCTTGCTTCATCCGATGAATTACGAGCTTCTCGAACCCTAGAAAAGATCCCTCCAAGAACTCAACACCACCGTGCGCGAGCCCCACGGTGGACGCCAACTGTCGTGGAATTGTCACGGCAGATGTCCTTAGTGTCAGGACTTAGTCGCGAGGCCAACGCATCTATATGGTAGCTTGAGAAGGGTTGATCGGAACGAGAGATGCAACACGCAAGACAAGGATTTAGACAGCTTCGGGCCCCGGAAAACATCATCCGGTAATAACCCTACATGCTGTTTGTGGCTATGTCTCATTATGATCATGAGAGAGTCGCCGGTAAGCCGGCTCTTTATGTCTAGCCCTAGAGATTATTCTTGTTGCTTGTCCCTCTTTGGGGAGCCCTGCCCCTCCTTATATAAGTTAGAAGGGCGGGTTACATGTGGAGTCCAAATAGGATTAGGACTAGCCTATCTTCTACTACAAGCCGGATACAAGTCCGGGTCTTGATTCCTTGTAAGAGAGATATTCCTCACGCATTTCCTCTTAAGCCGGCCTATCATAACATAAGCCAACCTTGTCGCTCCTCTGATCCGCTTGCCAGGTCACCCATAAGTCGCCAGGATCGGGCGGGTCACTTAGTGTGTCGTCCAGTCAGGGCGGGTCATTAGTGAGTCGCCAAGTCCGGCCGGCTTATACTTCCGGCCGGGTTACACCGCGGGGTATATCCCCGACAGACGGGTTCGGACATATGGGTAGATTGGAGGTGCTCTTAGATTCCACTAAATCGACAGAACTCGTTAAACTCTTCAGCTTATAATAGTGAACGGAAGGAGTATATGTTTGCAACCCTACAGCTTCGAAAATTAGTTAAACTTTATGCTTCAAACCATTAACGGAAGCGTACGACATATCACGGTGAACAGTACAAATATCACGTTGCACCTGATCGTCTAATATATGCTTCTAAAGTAGTAGTATGTTTACCGAATGCACAAGGAACAGTTTCCTAGCGTCAGTGAAGAATCGGCGATTGGCAAACGTGAAGCAAATTTCAATCAAGTTGAAAAGTTCAAGCATGGTTGCAACGGAATGACCTGAAAAACAATACTCCACCATGCCGATTGCCTCAAAGACCATACAACAATATGAAGGAAGGTCTCACCCTCATCTAGACAAACTTCCCGGTTCAGCAACAAACTTCAACTTCTCTAGGTAACATTCATAATAATAATACTTGCTACTACTGCTACTAATAATTCCCGGTCGCTGGAAATGCCACATCACAAAAGCTCAGCAAAAAGAATGCATCATGGCGCCTCAGCTAGAGCAGCACCCACCCTTCTTCACCGCCGAGACATCGTCCTTCATGTTGATCTTCTCACCCTTGCCAGGGCCGGCGGCCGACTCTTCGCCTGCCTCGACCGCCCTCTTGCTCACGATGCGGTAAATCTGTTTCAAGACCTCCGCAAACGCGTCCTCCACATTGGTCGACTCGAGCGCAGAGGTCTCCATGAAATAGAGTGACTCCCTCTCTGCAAACGACTTCCCTTCGTCGGTTGGGACTGCCACGAGATGGCGGAGATCGGACTTGTTGCCAACAAGCATGACAACTATGTTCGGATCTGTATGGTCCCTCAATTCCTTCAGCCAGCGCTCTGCATTCTCGAAGGTTGCGTGCCGAGTGACGTCGTAGACGAGCAACGCTCCTACAGCACCACGGTAGTATGCGCTAGTAATAGCACGGTATCTGCAGCAGGGTTCAGATCAGAAATGAAATGTTCTAAGTTAAGGCAGATGTGAACCGAATAGACAAACATTCTGACAAGCAAAAAAATTCACTACCGATAAAAAAGTTAAAAGTTTGCAATAACTTTACAACCACGTGTCTCCTACATGGGTTATTCAAGCTTTAATTAATGAGATGTAGTCTGTTCAGTGGAAGGGTTGCTTATCCACAGGCCTGAGCAACACAATTAACAGCAAGGTGGCACAGAGCCTCAATCCTGAGCCAATTTTGGTGAGGAACACTGAAATGAAGCTTACGGTACCACCATTTCTTAACTACATCAACTTCAGAACTATTATCATCAAGCCTATATTTTTTCCAGATGCATACAATTACACGTCAATATGCATCAAAGGCATTCATATAAAGAAAAAATGGCACTAGATACGTAAGGATTAATTACAAACCACATGATTCCGTGCTTTGGTGATCTAGACTTTATACAGTATTGCCAATTAACCTATCAGCTCACTAACTCCAAGCCCACATGGAGTACAGGGTGCCCCAACAAAAAATAAATAGCATGACAGTTCCAGCACTATGAGCAGAATTCAGGTGAGTCTCAAACTATTTTTTTTCTAGGGCACATATTGCACAATTCTAGACTACTGATAGTCCTTCGAATAGCAAATTTCTGTTAGTTAGTTCCATGTTACTACTAGAATAGTAGCATTAACCCATACAAATACGAGTCAAAAGAAATTTTACTAGTATATCATAGCCTTGATTAAGCAAAATGCTCCACTCTGCTACTGTGATTTTCATTGGTTGCGGTCCCCGAAAAATGCAAATTGGAACAACATATATCAAGGTGCTAATAATCATCGTTGCTGATGTGCAATACTACCAAATTTGGGAAACAATTGAGACAAGAATATAGGTACATGGATATATGGCTCAACATTTCCGTATCCAACTAAGAATTGTAACAATTACGTGAGCGCATGATGACTACAGCTTGCAATTCTAATAACAAACAGCAGAATTAGTAGAGAAAAATGATAGGAGCCACAAAAATTAGCAGCTCTTTCTGGTTACTGTGGCATAAAATTCCAGAACTAAGGACGAAATATGATAAGTAGTGGATCATTAAACCATTGTCAAGCTTGGCGCCCATATATTATTCTAAAATTAGTAAAACTGGAGACAAAAAAAAGTAAAATGGAAGAAATAAGGACAAAACAAACATGGATTTCTGGGTGCAGACAAGTAAAAGGAGGTAAGACAGCCTAAGAACCAGTTCACAAACAATGTCGTAAGTGTAAATGAATACATAGCAGAACTTCTGCAAGAAATGTAACTAGTTATTATTCTTTAGAAGACCCCAACCAACAATAAGCATGGCTTCTAAAAATGGTCTACCAAGGAAGATTCGAATCTGTAACTAGCACACCAACCATGCATCAACCAGAAACCAAATATGCCCGCAATATAGTATCATGATAGGACGTGCTTTGTAAGTTACGTGGACTTTCAGAACAGGAATCAAACATGAGAAAAGTAACAACTGTTATTACTATCGAAATTTCAGAACTAACTCCCTGATCTTCACTGCAGTAGCAAGATAAACCCACACAGAGTAATAATCCTATACAAACTACACGATCAGAGTGTAGTGAGCTAAATCTACAAGGTGGGCATTTCCATGACCAAATCATCACCGAACAGATCATGCGTTTCTAGCTGTGCAAGTCCCCAAATCGTACAGCCACTCACCAGTAGAGTCCCTGCTTACTGATTCGTAAGCAGCCGATGCTATGATCCATTAGCAGGACCGACTGAACCTACCCCGACACTCCACCAGGTAGCCGCGCCAGCACGCAGCATAATTCGGCAGCGAGATCCAACCAGCAAAAGCCCCACAGCAGACACACACACACTTGAAGGGGAAGGGGAAGCACGCATGCATCGGGATGTGAACGGGAGTAACCACGAAGCCAAACACAGATCTACATACGGCCAGGAGGGAGCACAGATCTACCTGCCGCCGAGCAGTCGGAAGCAGGCAGAGGGCGGGAGTGAGGCGAGGGAGGTGGCGCGTACCGTTCCTGGCCAGCGGTGTCCCAAATCTGGGCCTTGACGACCTTGCCGTCGACCTGGAGGGAGCGGGTGGCGAACTCGACCCCGATGGTGGACTTGGACTCGAGGCTGAACTCGTTGCGGGTGAAGCGGGAGAGCAGGTTGGACTTGCCGACGCCGGAGTCGCCGATGAGGACGACCTTGAAGAGGTAGTCGTAGTCGTCCTCCGCCCGGTACCCCGCCGCCATTGCTCCCGTCGCGTCGGCGATCTGGTTGTGGGGGGTGGCGAAGGAGGAGAGCGAGGGGGGAAGGGGAAGGTGGGGGAGGTGGTGTAAAAGCGGGGGCGGACGGAGAGAGAGGGGAAAGAAAAGAAGGAAGGAAAGGAAAGGAAAGGAAGGGGGCACGGGCACGGCAGCGGGCGGGTACGGGGAGCGGTGCGCGCGTGGTGATCGCGTCCGCGTGGAGTGCGGCGAATGGGGCATTTTGGTCGGGTCCGGCCCGCCTACATTTTGGGGGCCGGGTCGGCAGTCGCTGCAGTGCAGTCCACCGCGCTGCAGGAGAAACATCCGGAGAAAGATTTAACCGAGAAATACCCGGGCCGGTTCTGCTCTTCATGTCTCGTTGCCAATCTTTTTTCTGCTACCCGTGTCGATCAGACATGGATCATTTCTACTCGCATTTGTCTCAAAAAATAATTGTACTCGCATGCCCCGGTATTTTAGACCCTGCTATACATTTGGAAGCACTTGCCCCTGGAGCTTCTACGGTCAGATTTGGCAAATCCGGCTTTCTAAATGTCCACGGGCGCGTCCAGGCGTGATCTTGTACAGCGGACGCCCTCTCAAGTCATATCGAACAATTCCTGAAAAAAAATAAAAAAATCATGTCGAACAGCCATGCATCTTACATCTAAACCCTCAAATCCCGCAAATGTATGCATGTTGATCATATATCACAAATCCATCACAATTCAATAATCTGAACATGTCAAAATAAAACTCAACTTCCGGGCCACGGCTAACCAATGTGATGAATCAGTCGCCGGACACCATCTGTTTCGCGTGCTTTGCCATAGCCACCATCCGTTTCGCGTCTACTGCTTCGGTCGCCATTCTTGTCACCTCGTACTCCCTACACAAGTTGATCTTCTTCTTCACCTCAAGCCATTTCTTGCCTTCCGCATCCAAAAGACTTGCGTTCGCCAACATTATCCTTCAATCATCGGTGTCTCGATTAAGTTGCAACCTCTCATTCTCAAGCTGTATTGATCCAATAGTTTGGACCTTCTTGAGCTCTCATTTGACACACATTTCTTTCTTCTCCAACTCTATCTTTTCCCTCTCAATTTGCAACTTATGGTTCGTTGTATCCCGGTCTCAATTGATCGTCTCTTTTTGCACATCCAACATGAGCTTGTACCTCTCCTCATTCTTCTCCTCCCTCGTGAAAAAAGTGCCCATCCATGCGGTGGAATTTTTTTGTCACCGCAATGTTATGGGCAACCCTCCTCTTCTCCCACTTGTTTCCCATCACTTGCCGGTTATTCATTGGCATGGTGATGCGCCCATTCACCCCAACAACTTCTTCCTCTTATTCATCCAATCTAACGAGCCATCATTTTTCTTAAAACTCATGTTGATGATTTTGAGGTCTTCCACAGGATGTATCCACTTTGGTTTGCCATTCAATTTCATCCAACAGTGGCTACAATGATCATGATTCCAAATAAACCAACAACATATGCAACTAATTGATGCAATGACCTACGCAACTAATTGATCCAATGGCATTGCAAAAAATTATTCAATGGCATTGAAAAAAAAATCCAATGGCATGGCAAGTAAAGAACGAAGCAATTTAAAATGGAGCAAAACCTATATTGTGCCTTATTGCGAAATTCCATCGAACAAGACCTAGGAAGACTAGGTGTTGGCGCTGCCCGTGCTTGTCTATGTCTATTGGAGTTGCAGTGAGTCGCACACCATCTATGCAACTATGCCCCCTCCCAATGGCGTAAATCCGTCCGGAATCACCCATTGGGACGACATTCGTGGGCGATGCGGATGGCAGCCTCCTTGTCATTGGCAGGGCAGACCCGTGCGGGGCGGTTGGGTGTAGTGAGGGGACACATCCTCCTCGACGTCCACAACCTCCTTTGCCAGAACATCCTTTGTCGCTACTTCTCGCTCGTGTTGCTTCCTTTCCTACTCCCTCCAGGCGACATTCTCCGCCTTGCATCTCATCAAGACCTTATTGCAGTACAAATAGGGAGATACGCATATACTCATGTGCGACTGTCGAAATAGGAAATGTTCAATACAAAGTTCGTGTGAAATAGCGAGATGAAACTACAAAGGAAATTTCCAATGATCAACCATGCATGACAAGTTTGACAAAATTCATCTAAAGTAGCTCCAAACATGAACACGAAGTTGAACATTTATATCAACGTAACTAGAAACCGATCGTATGAATGGAACCACCAAGTCAATGTGCATATTTTTCATTTAGAGTGATGCCCTTTAAGATCCGATTTGGATAGCAGAAAGGTTCCCTGCCTTTTCCCCAAGGAGTGACCCTGAGTTATCAAACCCATGAGAGGATGTGCACTAGGATAAAGGCTATCACAACTCTCTGTCAACGAATTAAAATCCAGTTTTCAACCAGACCTTTAACAACCATGGGAGTGAAAACAATAGTATAAAAAATAGGCATGGTTATGAGGTCATACTGTCACAACCTTATATTTGTGCTCGGGATCTTAATTATTAATTTGAGCTCTGGAAGACAACCGCTATGATGTGATTGCAACGTGCAGCGGATAGGGCCTATGGTTGGACAACTGACTCTTGATGCAGGGCGTGTTCCGGTCAAGACGTAATTTGGACACATCCCCCACTTTGAGTCATTGCAAGCACATCTTAACGGGTGTCTTCCACAGAACAAATTAAGATCATGATGACCCCGATCACAAACATACGATTGTAAGAATCAAGCCCTCGTACCCATGCATGTTTTTATTATAAGTGTTTTCAGTAGCAACTGTGATAATGATCCTGTCTAAAAACTGGAATTGAATTCTCCTGCAAAGGCTTGGTAGAAAACCCTTGTCGTAAGTGCACACCCTGTCGTGGGTTCGATAACTCAGGGTCATACCTTGGGGAAAGAAGCTAGGAACCTTTCTGTTATCCGTTACCGGGTCACCAAAGGGACTCATCACCTTCATGGTCATGAATGTTTGTGTTTCTCTTCCTCAGGTTGTGTTCCTCGTTGCCCAACGTAGACCAACTTCTCTGCGGAAAAATATTAGCAAGAACACGAACGGAAATCCGCGGAGAAAATAAAAAAGAGCAAGCAAAAGAAAACATTATTCTGGTTTTTTATTTTTGAAATGCAAAATAAATGCAACCGGCGGAAACAAAAATAAAACAAACAAACAAAAAAGCAAAACCAAATAGAAATCAAAGTGTTGGAACAAACTAACAGAGTGTTTGAAGCTCAGCGAGCTGAAGTACAACCTCATTTAAAAATATTCAAATAAATATTGCCACATCTTGATTTAGATGTGGAAGTAACCTCCCCAAGCTTAAGATTTTCAAGCCCAAAACGATGATATTATTGTGGTGGCTGGTAGTTATTAGCCTGCTACTTGTGATCTGCGTTGGAATTTTCCCCGAAGAGCATGGAGATGTAGTACAGTAGAGATAAGTATTGCCCTTAGTGAGAACCAAGGTTTATTGAACCGATGGGAGAATCATGCAAAGCCTCGTGAACATCACCTACACACAGAAAAAGCAAATACTTGCATACCGTAACACAAAACCGAAAGGAGTACATCAACCCCCTCCCCCCTTTGCTTCCGATCAAATGTGGACCGTGTGTGGGCCCATAGATGTGTTCTTCTGGCGTTAGGTGGGTGACACCACTTACCAACCACACCTGTGGGTGGCCTGATGTGTGTGTGTGTGTGCGTGTGTGCGTGCGTGTGCGTGTGTGTGTGTGTGTGTTTGTGTGTGTGTGTGTGAAAACGATGTGCTATGATATTTAAATAACCAAATCACAAATTTGATGTGGCACATGTGCATCGCAAATTAACCGGGCATCCCCTACCCCATGGAGGTTCATCTAGTATGAAGTAGTACTATCCCCCCCCCCCACACACACACTTTGAGTCAGTGGGAGGGGGCATCTCACCAAGGCCTATTGTAAGACTGACCAAGAAGAATCACCACCTTGGTCGTATAACCTCTCTTGTTTGTTGGGTCAAAGTCATGCATTGACGTTCCACAGGCGCCCCACAAAATAGGCTAGCTTGTCATCGATAACCATGCGAAGGAGTGCCTGAAGACAACCACTACGTGCATGTGGCCCAAACATATGTACGAAGTGTCATGTGGTGTTTGAATATACCCGATGCACAACTTTGATTCATGTGTGTAGCGACCAGACCTCAAACAGTCTGATCCCTGTGCTTCAGTGTCATCCCTGGATCAGTAATGCTGACACGCGCAGTACTCGAAGGATTTTATAACAGAGTAGCAATCACACACTTATTACATCAAATGTCTCTAAAGAGAACTTATTACAATAAATATGGCTTAAGGCCATCTAATAACGATAACAGCGGAAGGCTTGGAAGATAAGTGAGTCCATCAACTCCAACGGCATCACTGAGTATAAGACCACGACCTAAGGCACCTTACTCGTCGTCTGAAAAGTCTGCAACATGAACGTTGCAGCCCGAAAATGGGTCAACACATGGAATATGCTGGCAATGTAACACATAGAGAGCAATGAACAGAAGTATGCTATACTACATGCATATATGGCTGGTGGAAAGCTCTATGGTTATAGTTTTGCACAAAGCCAATTTTTTCCTACTGCAAAGGAATAAATTTTATTTAACTATCATGGTGGTTGTTAAACATTGAGAAGGTAGACACCCTCTCAATCCCAATTAAGCATCATCATTAAACCCAACAAATTAAATTAAAGTAACATGATGAGATTCACATGATAATCCAAGTACTAGATACTCAAAATGTCCATAACCGGGGACACGACTAACCATGATTAGTTTATACACTCTGCAGAGGTTTGTGCACTTTTCCCCACAAGACTCAATCTCCTCCGTTGGATTTCTCGCACTACATGGTGTTTGAGAAACGGATGACCGAGACATAGTCTTTCAGAAGCGCTAGCACCTTACGATCGGGTAGACAGTTACACCTACTTTCCCCTACATATGCTAGTCTACCACTGTAAGAATTCACACGACTTAATCAACTATTCTAGAGTCCATAGTAGCTTGCGGCTGCATGCGGAAGTTTCTAGCATGAATAATCTCATGATCCCTTTGAGCATGGGTGGCAGTCCATAAAAAAACAAGCAATCGCTGGAATACCCAGGTGCCTCAATCCACCCAGATGTGTATTAAAGTTGCCACCTTAAATAAACCATTAAATAACAATCTCACATCTGT